GCTGCCAAGCACCGGAAACTAAATTCTGGCCGCATTGCACATAAAAATAACCACCGAAAGCAGTGTCATTAGCATCGGAATAAACGATACCAAAGGCGCTAGATTTAGGTGACATAATTTTCCCGTTGACAGCGTCAACATTGTTTAACCAAAAAACAAACTCACTAAAAAATCTCTAGGGAAATTTTTCTCAGCCGATCCCACGAGGTCCTGCGCTCAATATCTGCAAAGCAATTCCTTGTAAAAAAACTGGTCATATTGCCTACTGCATTTGCCTTACATACATACATCTACTTTATTTCAGCACGGTGATAGTTGAAGCTAACGCTTATGGGGTCATGCATCTAAGTCTAAAGTACAATTACACATAATACAATGATACAATGATAAGTTTACAATAATTTACGGTTGTAATACCCTTAGGACTAAGTGCTAAAAATATATAAAATCATTGTTACTGAAGTTGACAGCTGAGGCATATGTTGCTTTGAAATGGAAATCTCTTTGTACTTGTATTTTACTCAGTCTGGAGTCTAAAGACCAACGTTCAGCATGAGTCATGTCCGGACGCCTGGATGCAATTGCATTCCAGAGGATGGCGCCCCTGTAACTGACAGACTGTTTCTAGAGATTGATACCTAGGAATAATGATATTTTCTGATCTTCTTAACGAGTACTCGGTGTGTTGTCACTTAGTAGTACAGGAAGTCTATCGAAGTAAGCATCAGGCATCAGCTTGAACAGTCTGATCTCATAAATATAAGCTAAGGAATGCCATTTGGCTATCCGCTTAAGTGCGTGTTGGTAAGAAATACTATTCCCTAAGTTATATATTGGCTTCGCAGCTCGGCCGTGGAGTTTATCGATTGACCTAAATAGCTCAAAGTAACTGCAGTTTGCCCATGTCACAAGGCTGTAGGTGATTAAAGGCAGAATAACACCAAAGTAGAATTGTTCCAAAACCGCTCATCGGTTTTCTTAGTAGATTGAGTTTATTAGCAAAGCTCTTTTTCACTTCAGATAGGTGTGGTGACCATGTTAGCCTACGGTCCGACCTATAATTAAAGCAAGATTTCCGGCTGAAATGTGACCTTTTCTGAAGACCAGAAGTGAGGAGGGATTTGAGCTTGCGGATTTGGTCCTATGGAATTTGAATTAAGCTTTTCCACAAAATCTAAAACGAATCCCAGAAAAACTGGCTTCTACGTAGGCTCCCAAATTGATTTATTATCGTTAGGTATGAAACCAAATGAAGCAAGATCTTGGCAAACTGAAGCACTCAACACCTTGCCGGGCAACGTTTTCCAAACACGTACTTTTTGCTTCCAAATTCGCATGAAAGCGGAACAATGACTGAAAAGTTTCTAAGAATTGATGCCGAATATGTCTAAAAATAATGGTTTCATTATACACTTTGTAAAGTGGCTCTCGCCAGGTGGTAGGACGAGTCCATTTTTGCATAATTATCGTAGGGATTGCAGGGCAAACCAGAAATAGAACCTTTATGAATGCCAGAGGCGAAAGAAAATTGTTCCTGTTCATACTTGATAAAAGGTTTCCCCATTCCCCGAAACAGATTGAATCAGATTGGGGATGGTGGTTTTGTTAACCCCAACTTAAAAATGTACGATCGTAATATCAAAATTTCGTCATAGAATTCCCAGAAACCGGAGAGGAACAGAGCTGTTTCTCAGAATCGATGACGGACAAATATTAAAATAATAGACCAATCACATAGCAGAATTCACACATTTTTGACATGCTTAATATTTCCGATCCAATAACTTGGCTGATTTTCGAGAAATTTGCGCAGCTGAAGAGAAATTTGTGGGAATTGAAATAAGCAGAAAATTTGTCCTCGTGAAACATAGTTCACATCAACATAGTTTCGACCATGTTTTGAACTTGTAGTTTAAAGGTAAGCTCCTATTAAACGTTAACGTTGATGATGCTTGCAATTAGAACCTCTTCAGGAATCGCTTGTGGGATGTTAGCATTAAATTCTATTAGAGCCTACAAAACTAAACAACAGTCTTCAAGCAACTAGTTGGTGCGTTCGAAGAAACGTTATTGACACGAGAACAGCCATTGCAGAACTCGTTATTTCTTCAAAATACCAAAATGTGCAGATTAAAATCATATTGCTACGCTGTCTCTAAAAACTAATCGATGACGATTTCTGGCATCTTAACGATGTTTCTTCAGGCAGTTCCTCTTTAGAAAGGATGCTTTTCAACTTGAAAGCTTGACAGAAAAAAAGGATTTCTCTACTCGCAGTTATTGGTTATCGTTTCATAATCTTCGAAAACTTTGTTTGGATTTGATTCAGTTTACATTTTATGAATCACTGGAGCATGAATGCTTCAGGGAACGCATTAATCACAATCGAAGGTGTTCTAGCAACTTCATTTTTATTCGTCCGAACTTTCACGAGAAAATTTCGTGAGAAATTATCGTATTTATCAAGACTGTTACCGTTTGTGACAGGATAGACTGTAGAAACTATTTTAAGAAGTATCTTTGTTTAGGCTGTCGAAAGTTGTTAGTCAAATAAATTGTTGGAATAAATTTTTTGGTATAAAATCCAAACATCCATTTCGCTAAAATTTGCATTTTTCTATTTTCCACGTCAGAGTTCACGTTCGCAGTGACCTTAAGACAGAGATAGATTGGTATCAGGCAGTCTACTGTGATATCAGAATAAAACTCTATCGGACGATAGAAATAAATCCGCTACATAATCACTCGTAAACATAGCAACATGCGAATGTACGTGATCGTAAAAAACTAACCATCACACAGATTTTCGTTGTCGATCGCCGATAAATTCTGTGATGTCGCTGGTAGCCTTAGATGTTGTTAGATCAAATTTTGTCTTATGATTTTCGTACGATTGAATCGCTCGAATGATGACAAATAATGTGCCCGCTCTCGATCATCAGTTAAAATATTGCCCGTCTCTGACGGTCCAGTATTAAATCAATTGTGTTCTATACTTTGATTCTACCTTCTAAATGTAATTGTGTCTTGCTTTCCAGAAGGGAAGCTATTCACGGGAATTCGCGATGAATGAAGAACTTTTCATAGTTACACCATCGATTTTTTTCATCTCAGCAGCCGCACCTATTATCGCTTCTGCTTTTTGTCTACAAATACATAAGATAATTCGGCAGAAACATTTCCTGTTTTCATCATATCTACAGAAAGTACTATAAAAGACATGATTGAAATGAGATTGATTCCATATTGCTTTGAGACTTTATTGCAGTCTTTTTGCGGTTCATAAATTTATGTAAGTGCTTATACCGCCCGTTGATGAGAAATGCTGTGAGTTTCAACCAAGTGCTTCGTCTCTCTTTGTCTCAACACTCTTTTGTACTTAATATGATTGTCGTGAATAGTTTTTTGTTCGGCTTTGTTTCCTTAAATTTGAGTCATCTGTGTCCAAAAAAGAAAGTAGGGTCCCCCTGTTTTATAATTCGTTGCTATAAATCAGTGTTTCTGCTTACCTTTTCACTTTCACAAAACAGATGTCACGTTACCATAGTAATTCTCCGAGGGATTTACGAAGTAAGCTCAATGCTTCCTCTGACAATCGGAAGCGAGGGTCCGAACATGTCTCGAGGATCGATGACGCCCCGAAACGAAGACGAACGGTCACCATAGTTAGGGAGGACAAGGATAACACTACTCGGCCTATCAGCTTCAAAGAATTAGAAAAAATCTGCAGAGAACCATCGGCTTTAAAGCTTATCAGCAAAGCGGAGAGGTTCGAGGCGCTATTGACTTCAGAGAAGTTAAGCAACGAAGAAGCGAACCCTGTCTTTCTAAAGCTGGTTATATCTGCTTTTCATCTGCTATGATCAGGGAACAACCTCATCACCGAAAATGTCGACAGGTTGTTAAGTTCTCCCATTGCGAAGAATTTCATTACGGGGACGGTTCTATCGAGTTTCATCAATGAACTGCCTCATTCTGACCATTGGAAAGACGAAGAAAATCGTGTTTGCACAGTGAGTAATCTGACGGAAATTTTTGTCGCATTTCTTCAGAGATTTGGTAAAGACATAGTTTATAAGCTACCACTGGCACAGCTTAGAACCTCGCTAAATGAGCTGAAAGAGTCAAACCTGGTCCAAAACGTCGATCAGCTAGATGAAAAGATCCAGCAAATGGAGGAATTGAAAAAAGAAGCAATTCGGAGTGCAAAATATACAAGTGATCAGAATTCACAAGGTGAACCACAAGAAAATTTCAGAGAGTTAAGCGTCATTCCTCAAGTACAAGATCTAATTGCCAGACGTTTCCTTCGCGAAAACATCACCGACAGAAGGTTTAAAGACTTGGACCACTATTTAGATGTGCAGTTTCGTCTCTTGAGGGAGGACCTTGTAAAACCTCTTCGTGATGGAATACATCAACTGAAAAAGAGCAGTGTCCTGGAACCTAATCAAGAAAACAAACGCAAACGCGCCAATGATGTTCATGTTTATCATGGCGTCACCATCCAGTTTCCCGTATGTAGAAAAAGAGGCCGAGTTTTTAGAATCAGGTTTGACGCATCTCATCCGAAAGTAGTGCGAGTGAACTGGGAGCGAACTAAGCGACTAAAGTATGGAACACTGCTTTGTCTTTCTGCAGACAACTTTAATACATTGGTATTCGCAACAGTGGAAAATCGAGATCCTGCGGGACTTGTAGATGGACTGGTGGAGGTACGTTTCGAAAGCGTTAGCTCGGAGGAAGTGAACCAGTTTGTGAAGAGAAAGGAGGTCTTTGTCATGATAGAGTCTCCAGCCTACTTTGAATCTTACAGACACGTACTTGAAGCCCTCAAGGAGATAAATTCTGAGTTTCCTTTCCAGAAGCAGATCGTGGGGTGCTGCAGGGATGTCGAGCCACCCGAGTATCAAATAAAGAAAGAAAATAACAGCAATTTTAAGTTTAATTTCGATGACGTCTTAGTTACAAAAAGGGAGGCGTATTCAAAACCTTCTGAGTTGATTGAAAAGCAAGATTCCCGATCTGCCATGGAAATTGTTCCGGATGCCTCGGCCAGTGTGGAAGTGGAAAACGCAATCCCTTCAGCTGCAGAAGAACGTAAGTGCACCCCAAACGATTATTGTTGGCCAGACAGGGCGAGCCTCGGGCTCAATGAATCGCAGATGCGCGCATTCAAAATGGCGTTGACCAAAAGGTTTGCCGTAATTCAAGGACCGCCAGGGACTGGGAAGACATACGTTGGTTGGAAGATTGCACGTGTTCTTCTACTGACCCACTCACTCTGGGAAGATAAGGAGAACCAGACACCAATCTTAATGGTGTCCTACACAAATCACGCCTTGGATCAGTTTCTGGAAGGACTTCTTTCAACAACGACAAGTGAGTTATGCTTGATTTATTAATTTTTTCTTTGAAACCAGCAGCTGGTTGTATAAACTCTGAAAAAAATTCAAGATTTGATGGCAGTAGTAATTATTCTGCCTTGTTTAGTAGAACTCAGGAAGGTCATTTTTTTATGACGTCATGGTCTACTGAGCTGTTTCCTATTTTTTTATTTATTTTTTTTTTATTTCCTATTTTTTTTTCCTATTTTTGTTCTCAGCTAAAATGTGAAATTTTTCAGTCGCCACAACGAGTTTCCATCAAGTCAAAATGTAAAGAGCGTTTTTCCCCCACGAATTGTTCGTTTCATATAGTTAGTCGGTAAATACTTTAAATAAAGCTGACCGAGTTGTTCTGTGTCATTTTGTAGATGTTGTTCGTGTTGGTGGCCGTAGCAGAAGTGAGAAACTTGACAGATATTCATTGAAGTATCATCAGAGATTAATGCGTTCGCAAGAAGTAGTTCCAGATGAAATTTACAGAGCCAGAATACACTCTGAGAATGACACTCATCGGCAAAAACGTTTCTCCGAAAGTTCTCTCAAGATTTTAAGTACTTTAAAGACAAGCGTGGTGTCCATGAAAGTCCTAGGTCATCGCGATTATGCGCTGAGAGCCCATTACTCACAACTTTTGGAAGAAGGTGGACCAGAATCAATTAACGAAGCTCTTCTTGACTGGCTGCAAATCGAAAGACAAGATCAACATGAAGAGGAATTACTTCCTTATGGCGACTACGAGGAAGAAGAGTATCATTCTTATGGCTACGGGGTAGCTTTTGACAATGAACCCTTTGACGACAAAAACCTTAGGGAGATTACTTCTGAAATAGCAATCCTCTCAGCTGAAGAGGCTGCCGACCCTAAGGAAGTAAGACGAAATCTTTTGAGTAGAGAGCTTATGTCAGAGGACGAGGAGATGCATGTTCGTGATATTTACCGGTTGGGAACAGAAGATCGCTGGAGACTTTACAGGCTGTGGAGAAAGAGGGCGGAGGAACATCATAACGAGCTCTTTCTTACTAGGCAAGGCGAGTATGAACAAGCCATTGAAAGAGAGCGGGAGATCACCAAACTGGAAGAATACGAAATTCTGCGCAAGGCACGTGTCATTGGCATGACGACCACGTGTGCTGCAAAATACCGTAGCATCCTCACGGAGATCGGCCCCAGGATCGTCATAGTCGAAGAGGCCGCTGAAGTACTGGAGGCTCACATTATTGCGTCATTGACGCCGGGCTGTCAGCATTTGATTTTGATTGGAGATCATAAACAACTAAGACCCACCCCCGCAGTCCATGAATTAGCCAAGAAGTTCAAGCTGGATGTGTCCCTCTTTGAGCGAATGGTTAATGTTGGAGTGCAATGCGAGATGCTCAATGTACAGCACCGTATGAGACCTGAAATCGCCGCCTTGATGAAACACATTTATGACAATCTTGAGAATCACAAGTCTGTGGAGGAATACGAAGATGTCAAAGGAATCAAGAAGAACATGTTTTTCATCAACCACAACCACATGGAAGAGTCAAGTGATCAGTTGCATAGCCATGTGAATAAACACGAAGCCAAGTTTTCAGTCGCGCTCTGTCGTTATTTATTACAGCAAGGATACGAAGCCCATCAAATTACCCTACTGACAACCTACATGGGACAGATGTTCGCTCTCAAAGATTGCCTTCAGGGAGAAGAGGAGGATTCCCCGCTTAGAGGCGTCCGTCGAACGACAGTTGACAACTTCCAAGGTGAAGAGAACGACATCATCCTTCTGTCACTTGTGCGCAGTAACAAAGACGAGAAAATCGGATTCCTAAAGATTGTCAACCGCGCATGCGTTGCTCTCTCGCGTGCAAGAAAGGGTTTCTTCTGCATAGGAAATTTTGGCCTTCTCTCCAAACACAGTGACATTTGGAAGAAAATTGTTGCAGATTTGAAAGCTAGTACCAGTATTGGAAACGCCTTGCCCCTTGTTTGCCAAATCCACAAAGACGAAGTCAGCGTTGCAACTGCCGAAGATTTTAACACAAAAGTTCCCATGGGAGGATGTCAGCAACCATGTGCGGCGCGTCTGAAATGCGGTCATGCCTGCCCGCTGAAATGTCATCCTTATGATAAAGGCCACCGGGAATTTCGCTGTGAAAAACCGTGTGAAAAGAAAAGGGAAAGATGTGGCCATTCGTGCCCTAAGCGTTGCGGAGAAGTCTGTGAACAACTTTGTGATCTAATGGTTGAGAAAGAGTTGCCGATCTGTGGTCACACTACAAAGGTGAGATGTGACACTAGTCCAGAGATGATGAAATGCAAAAAAAGATGTGAGAGAGTCCTTCCCTGTGCTCACAGGTGTCAACGCAAATGTACAGAAAGCTGCACAGAGAAATGCCAAGAGCTTGTCAAGAGGACAGATTGGCCTTGTGGACATGAAGTCACTATGGCCTGCTCAGCAACTCTTGCTGATTGTCCAGTTCCTTGCGGACCCACGTTGGAATGTGGTCACCCGTGTTCTGGAACTTGTGGCGAGTGTCGCATGGGTCGCATTCACAAACAGTGCAAGCTGAGGTGCGGTCGTGTCCAGATTTGTTCCCATTCGTGCAAGTCCTTGTGTAGAGAGTCGTGTCCGCCGTGTATCATGATGTGTGAAAACAAGTGCCAGCACAATCCATGCCCGAATAGATGCGGAGAGCTGTGTATACCTTGCCGCGAGGAATGCCCCTGGAAGTGTTCTCATCACGCTTGTACCAAGAAGTGCAGTGAGATGTGTGACAGACCAAGATGTAATGTACCATGCTACCGATTCATACCAGAATGTGGCCACGTTTGCTGTGGTTTGGAGTGCGAAAAAGAGTGCATCTGTGCTGAGTGTACTCCAGAAAGAGAGATCATCTTCGGGACGGAGGAGGACGAAAATGCTCGGTTCATCAGGCTTCCAGATTGTCAGCATATCTTTGAAGTAACTGGCCTGGATAGGTATGAACTAACAGTAATATCTCCGTCTACTCACTTGCGCGACTTACACTTGTCGAGGCGTCAAAAATGAAGGTGATGATAGATGTATCGTATGTGTTAGCTTTGTCGCTCCTTTTTTCGGTTAGGAATATCATCTGTCGATACTAGTCTATATAACATAGTGCGCATCGTCTTATTGCTCAAGTGAGTTTCCAAGCAGATGCTTTAGCAGGATACAGAACCTGCGTGTTACTAGTAATGTCATAAAAGCAATGGAACGCATTTTTTCCCGATTTTATGTCGTGTTAAAGCCACTTAGGATGTTGGGAGCACATTTGCCTTCGGCTCGTGGTTTATAAGCTTTCCCCGTGTTCTCCCAACATCCGCGTGGCTTTATCACGTTATATAGCCCGTAAAAATGTGTTCTATTGCTTAAACAGAGGTGGTATGGTAGGGTAGTGCTATGCAGCATATTAATGCCAGCTATGTTTTGTGTTGTCTCTCTCTAGAGTGAGGGTGCATCATAAAATTGTATGAAATTGTCTTCTCGTTTATAGATGGATGGACGGAGATGATGACGTGATTGGGCGAAAGCAGTGTCCGCAATGTAAGACCCCAGTTCAAACGTGCCTGCGATATGGAAATGTTATCAAACAGCAGCTACACGATATTGAGAGAGTGAAAGCAAAAATGTTGGGAAACAAGACGGAATTGAACAGCAAGAAAATGATCCTACACGGTCGTGCTATTGTTTTATTGGAGAAATTGAGACTTGATGGAACACCGTTTTCTCGAAAAGTCACAGCCTATTTGGAAAAACGAAAAGACAGAATACGGCAATCAATGAAGTCTGAAACGATAGCCGCGATCATTGAAAACCAGTTGATGCTGATTCACCGTTTGTTCTCGACAGGAAAGAAAATGCAAAGCGTTCTAGGAATGGCGTCGCCAGAGGACAGCTCTGAAAAGAAGTTGCAGCGTAAGTTGAGATTATAACCCAAATGCATTTTACGTATTTGGTCAATGAGCTTAATGTATTTGAGAGAATTCAAGCTCTGCAACTTCACTCAATTTTACCTGTAGCTTCCAAAAACCTTACCAAGTACGTCGGTTTTATCAACAGGCCAGCAGTTTACCGAGGAACTGAATTACCTTGAGAAACGGCTTCTGTCTGACCGGGTAGGGCAGTTAGAGCTACAAGACATCAACACAGAATTCTCCAGATTCAATCTTCAACTGGAGATGTATTTGCTGAACCGCGACATCACGAGCCTGGAGCTAGAGTTAGACGAACCTTCCTGCCAAATGAAGACTGCAATACAAAAGGAACTGTCCAGCGGTCAACGCATAGCAGACGAAGAACTGGATAAACTTATGCATGATATTGCAACCATAAGGTATGTTTAAAAACCTGGAAGGAAATTTCTTCAAACATTAGAATTTCCAATAAAAAAGTAACTTTTTTCTCCAGCAGCACGTACTTTTGTGAGGATCGCTAGAGCTTAATGACTGGAAAGATTGTTGAAGATGTTCGGCGATCTCCGAACCTTGTCGTGCTCAACCACAAAAGTTGTGTTTAAAGAGAATCAGTTTGCACTTATTATGTACTTATTTGCTGAGAAGGAGGGCCGGACGGGAAAATATTGTAACATTTTTGTCTTCCTTGTCAAGGTATATTTTAGACTTAATGTTACACATACGCAGGCTTTATCGTGAGGATACAAGTACTTATCAAAAAGAGTGGGCCGTTTATTTAAACCTCTCACTACCAAGATCTCATTAGCAATTCTTCTTACTGTCTGCCATACAGTTCTTATGATGTTAGTAAAATAAAA